GTCATACACAGCACTTCATCCCCCTTGGCTGGTCCAGCTCAGAAAATGGACTCTTGGTGAGGTGTTCTTCAGTCTGGCTGCCTAAGTCATTCCCTGCTCCTCAGAGGGGAACAGGCCCCAAACAACTTTGCTTTCACCCTTTCCACTCAGGATAAAGTGTCATTACTTCTTTTACCTGCCCTCAACTCAAGTAAGAGGGGTGGAAACAAATCTATGTCCTTGGGTGCATAGATTGGGTGCAGGTCTTTGAACTCTTTGATTGGTTTCTTATTACTTCCCGCATTTCCCCCAACATCAGCCAGGTGGCAGGTTTTCGTACAGAAGGGCTGTATCCAAGTAATGCAGTGAGAACACCAAGAGAACACCATTCCTCATCTCAGAAGAGTGAGCGTATTCTCACAACAGCTTCCCTAGGATAAGCTCTGGATGTGGGATGCTACTCTGCTTTTCATGAGGATAAATTGCTAAGGCTGAGCAGTTCTCCAAGGCTGAATGAAACCTCCTCAACTTCCCAGCCCAGCTTGAGCAGTGCCATAGGTGGCCACTGCTTCATGCATGCTCATTAGTTATCTCCTTGGCTTGTAAACGGGGGCTGTGCATCAATAGCAGTGCCTGCTCATTTGCACCTCTTTTTCTATCTTATCCTCCTGCTCACCATCATAACTTCATAACTGGACTGAAATTTGAGATGTTTTCAGGGGAAAAAAAAAAATCACACGTCAATCACAGGACTGCAATGAATCCCAGTGCAATGTTGGCAAGGTAAATGTAGTTGCAGGATGTGTCAGCCCAGGCTCTTTCAACAGACTTTGGTGCTACCTCATAAAGGCAGTGTGATCCTATGAAGAATCCTGGAAGATCCTGGAAGTTTACAGGCAACAGTGGGAAGCCCTAGCAAGAGGTGATAGGATATCAATCCCACAGAGCCAAAGCAAGCACAGGGCTGCCGGCCCAGGGACAATCTGAAGCAAGGAAGATGGACTTGCCAGTCCAGACCTAGGGAGCACATCATGCATTTCAGAAGACATCAGAACTTTTGTAAGGGAGTGAGAAAGAGGAAACCCTTCAGTGAGGTTTTTCCTGTGGCACATATAAGAAAAAACAAAACAAAACAACAAACAGTGCAAACCATAAGTTGGCAGATGAAAATGGGATAAAATGGAGCAAGGTTTTGCCAATTCAGGATGCTGAGCCACCTGCTGTAGGAGGAAGGAGTTGGGTTGGCCTCCATCCTGCCGGAAGGGGACTCTCAGCTAGGCTGTGTCTTTACTTGGATGTGTGGGAAAAGCATAATAGGTGCACACTAAGTTTATGCTGATCCTCCTTTTAGATGATGCATGGAGAGACCAAGACATAAGGAGAGAGGAAACTGAAAATACCTGTGAAATGGCATCTCAGTCAGAAACCAGGGAAAACAGAGAAGAATGAAAAAAAAAAGCTTGCCTGAGTTGCTATGGCTATGAAATGGCTGGATGCTGGATAGGGTCGGTGTTGAAAATTGCTGAATGCAGGCCACTAACATGTTTGAACAGAGAAAATAGGGGTGAAACCAGAGCCTTGCTGAAATCAGGGACAATCTTGCCATTTGACGTATTGTGAATCATCAGTTGCCAAGCTTGACTCCAGTTGAATGTCATTACCACAGCTCCAGAGCATTCATCTCAGTTTTGGAATAGTCATCACATTTTGCTGTTTACAGCTTTGTCGATGATACATTAATAACCACTGGGGCTCTGACTGTATCTCACTGGCTCTGAAGCCAAAGTTGAGTCACACATAGGAGGGCTGCCTGCCTGACATAGCACAGCTAACACCCCTAAAAACATTGCTTGGTGTGCAAGACTGCCAGGACCCAGTTTCACCCCCCTGCACAGGAGGTAGGATTAGTACGTTCAGTGCTGAAATGAAACGCTTCCCAGTCTACCAACAAAGGGCAGGCTTTGAATTCTCAGCTGAGGAAGCAGAAGGTTTACGTTAGGAGGATCCATTTGATGCAAGTTTATTTTAAACCAGCTTTTTTATTCCAAGTGGTATTTGGTGGTATATTAAAGCTGTCTGTTCGATAGGTCTACTGGAGCCAGCATTCCACATCTCTAGAAATTCACTGCAAACACTCTCTTGGTTTCCTCTATTTTAACATTTTCAAAGTTTGTGACTGGTGAAAGAGCAGGTTTTTGGTTCCTGCAGAGATCTGAAACATGGACTTTCTTGTCAAATGGCAGAGATGCTATTTGGGCCAGGGCAGTTCCCAAACCATCTGCGAGCTGCTGTCTTGCTAGGGAGACTGGAGTCATTTCTGGAATTTCCATCACAGGAAACAGACACTCTTGGGCTGCAGGCAGGTACCCAGCCATGCCAGGCAAGGGGAGGACGAGGCTTTGCTCTGATGTAGCATCCTGAGATGCAGCAGTTCCATACTAGAGAGGATGAGGACAAGAAGAAGAGGACGAGAACTCTGTAGAGGTCACCAGAAAGCTGACTTCCCCCTTGCAGTTGTGAAATCAAGCATTATAGGGGCAAGTGGAACCTGCAGCTCACTCCCAAAGGCAGGCTGGCACAGCATAGGGATGCAGGGAGACCTATTCAGGAGAACTCAAGACGTGACAGAAGAGAGGACATGAGGCTTCCAGGATTATGCTTAGATTTCAATGAGGCCCTATAGTGATTTGCATTACAAAGGATTTTATTAATTAGACAACTGATTTAAATGCAAGCAACTAATCCCTCTGCTGTCAGCAAATGATCTTAACGTTCAGCTGTCGATGTGTTTTAGCATTTTTCCTTGCTGGAATATCTCTTTAATGTACATCTCAACACAGCATTTGGATTTCTTATATATCTTCAGAAAAGTACACAATACTGTAATAACCATGTCTTGCAAGGATATGCAGCAGGCTGCATCTTGCATTACATCAGTAACTTCTGTCTTCAGCTTAGTTTGGGCCTATTTTGTCAAAACTTACAAAACAAGAATAAATCCTGGCCCTTGAGACCATTTCCAGAGACTATTAATAAAACAAACCAAAAAGCGTTGAACAACTTGCTTAAGTTCGTCAGTGGATCAGTGACACCTTCAAGAGTATAAGAAGACACCTTGAGTCCAAGCCATTAGAACCTCTACCTATGTGTGAGAGTCCCTTGGTGTTTGTGATTCCAGCACACACCGTGGGTTGGTACTTCAGCTGAAACACACAGAGCTCCTGGCCAACCCTAAAAGGCTTCATGTTCTGAGAGAGTAATGGGTGCAGTACAGCTCCCAGATGAGCACTTTTCCCGAAGACAATCATTAAGGGGCCAAAACTGGGGGGTTTGTCATTTGAGTAAATATATTATGTAAAATAAGCTCTTTAAAACAATAGCAACAAATGCTCTATGTTGCATGGAGCCAGTTTTCTATTGTCTTCTGTGACCTCTCATCTGAAGCATGGACTAAAGCTAGGCAAAGGTTGAAGTGTGTGTGGCACAGAGAGATGGGAATAAGAAATGGCAAGTGCCATTGTTCTTCTCTTTGCCTCCCTGTGAGCAGCATTTCACTCGGTTTTCCACTGTCAGAATAGATTAGATATCTAAATTCTAGTATCAATGAGTGGTCTGGCTAATCACTCGAGTGCAGAAAATGTGTTTCACGGAGGAAAATGCCAGATTTGTGGAAGCCATTTGTGTAGCTTAACACAGTGATATAGTGCATGCTTGCAGACAGTCAGATTTTGAAGACAGCATTTGAACAATACAAAACTAATTAAATCAACAAGAGGCCTGGGGACAAAGGATTCATTTTCCCATCAGCTGCCAGCACAGATGAAGGCTGGTGATCAGCTCTGCATGTGACACGTCTGCCCTGCCGCACTCAGAGCTGTCCTCAGGAAAGTCCTCTCCAGGGGAACAGCACTGAAACTTAATTGTTCCTCAAAGAGAAATGAAAACTTAAGTGTGAATGATGGGGAAAAAAACAAACAAACAAACAGAAAAAGGTTATTGCAAAAGGAGGAGGAAAGGAATGAGATTCTATTTGAAATGGTTACCGCAGAGGATACTTGTGTTAGCTTTTGGCAGAACAAAAGGGCATTGCAAAGAAGTTCAGAAAGGTGCTGGCATTCAAAACATTTTACAGTCAACTCTGAAACCATAACATGTGCACATAACCTTCAGAGGCTTGAGCAGAAGGATATGAAAATGTCCACTGTGTTTCTCTCCCAGAGACAAGCAGATCCTATCTTTCCTTATATAAGTAGAGAATAGGGAGCATTGTTACCCCACGTGTGCTCCCTGTGGCATTTTATGCACAGCAGGGCAGGCTGGTGTCCCCAGGGCAACAACCAGCCCCACTGAGAAACTCTGTGTGGGGAGAGATGTCTCTCCTCTTCATCATAGTTAACATCATCCATTGCTTGCTAGTTTAAAGCACGTGCAACCACCCTGCTCCCCCAAAACACCAAGGGGTGGTGCAGAAGGATGACACACTCTATTCCTGCCCGCAGCCCTTGACAGAGGATGGAATTACTCTGGCAAAGTGTTGGGCACCCCAAGACGTGCTGAGTTTGGCTGATGCCAAGGCACTGGACCTGCATGGCCTACACCCCCCTGCCTGCAAATAGTCCCCACTAGGACCTATCACCACTGAATATCTGGACCTGGTCAACCAGCAGTAACAGTCTAACTGGTGAGGATATTTAAATCCTATTAACAAAATGGGCCTTCTATCAACTTTCCTTTGATATGGATGGGATAAGTTTGTGCAGTAGGACTTTGCAGTGGGGCAAAGTTAAACCTAGGTCAAATATTGAGCCAAGGGTGACAGGAACTCAGTAGAGAGCGGGTGAAGACATTTTAGACCCAGTTTCCTAAGGCCACTCTGCTGCAGGATATGAGGACAACTAGCAACAGCAGCAAAACAGAGAGGGTTTGCCCAGAAGAAGGAAGCCAAGGTGAGCAGGGCTGTGTAAGAAATGTCACAGAGGCTCATTTCTGTAAACAGTAAATTACAGACCATCACAACTCTGTGCTTTACATAAATTTTATTGTGTTTCAGAGAAAATTGCATACAGCCCATCAGGTTGCTCTAGCAGCTTATAATACGTTTAGTATGTGGTCCAGTCTTTTTTTTTTTTTTTTCCCCAGCCATTCAGCATAATTCTTAGCAGGATTTTGTGCTGTGAAGGGTAACTAAAACTATCAGCGTTTTCTGAAACATCTGTTCCTATTAAGGTTGATGACATTTTTTTCTGGAAAATTCCTAACTATATTCTAAAATTATATATAAAAAAATACTGTGTCCTTGTGGAAATTCAATAATATCTGTGTATCATTTCCTAATACGAGTATCTGAAAATGTTCCTCTTAGACAAAATGTACTGCCAGTGTTTGAGAATGTTTTCTTCAACCCAGAGCTTTTTGTTTTCATTGTTTCTGTTGTTATACATCACCATTTCAAGTTGTTTTGTTTTTTTTTTAATGAATAAAAATTGAGTGTGTTTGAGTGAACAAATTGTTATTTTGAAAAGACCTCTGAATTTGCCAGAAGGGAAAAACTTCTAATGCTGCTGCAATTATTTTAATGACATACATTTAAAAAAAAAAGAATTCTGGTGAGTAAATATTAATCATCTAGCAGTGAGAAGGGTATTACTCAAGGAAGTAAAGCAGACATTGTGGCAGCTCAAGATGCTTGCGCATCGACATACTTCATGCTACCTCTGTGCCACAACACACTGCTCCCAGCCTCATGCCCACAAGTGTCCTCTTGTTGCACTGTGGCTCTGGGAGCTAACTTTGCTTCTAGATGAAAAATAAAGGGTAGTTACTTTCTTGACAAAGGAGATTGCCACGAGGGCATACCTGCTACAGCAAGAGGCAGGAAGAAGCAGGGGTGCAGAAGGGCTATAGATTGGAGTGACCCAAGACTTTCTCTTAAGTCGTGGGCTTACTTTCTCCTTTTCTGCACTGTATTTTAGCCAGTGTTTTTTTCTACAATGTCAGTGGAGTCATACTAGTCAGATTCATTTTCCACAGGTAGAACTCCACAGACAAGCAAGTATTTGGGAAGTCCCTCTACCCAAAACTGTCTGCAATTTCCCCTGTATTTAAAAACAAGAACTTCAGTTCTGTACGAACTTCTTGCCTGTTACAACCCCAGGTTATCATCTGTACCATTATTTATAGTCAGACCTAAATTTAAAACTAGGAATTGGAAAAAGCCCTATAAAAATAGGATACAGGATCCATATCCAAGTAATTAAAAAACAAAAGGAATCAAAGCTTTCCTTGATTTTGGGTAGTCTGTAAATGTCTTGAGATAGTACCTGAAAGAGAACAAACAAAAGAATGAAAGCGCGTACGAGCAAGAAAACTGCACAGTTTCAATACAGCTCAGCTGAAGCACCCTAAAATGCCTCCAGTCTACCTTGCTTTGCGACCTCTCTGTGTTACTCTGTGAAAGAACATTCCCGAGAGATTTACACTGCTATTTAATTCGGGAATTCAGCGCACAGGAGCACGTCTATCCCAAAGCACTGCAAGGAAGCCTCAGGAGAAGATGTGTTTACCAGGCTCAGTGACAGGATGTCTTAATATGGAAGGAGCAGTGACATAAGCAGAGCTACTTAAATGACCATCAGTCCCATTTAACAATTTTTCCAGCGCACTGCTGTACTTTCATCCAGTTGCAAACAGGCTAACATGCTTCTTGTACGTAGCATTAAATTTCAGTTTTCTTTTGGATTCCAGCCCTGTCCCTCCCTGGCATTTCGCAAAATGTGTTCCATGAGCAAGAGGCAGGAAACTGTTTAAGTTTTGATACCTGTGATGGTGGTAAGCACGGGGCCCAATGCAGCAAAGAGTGAAAAAGGCAAAGGTGAAGGCTGGCAGAGACCAGGTAGCGATGGCAAAACCAAACCATTCCACAATTTCTCCAAAGTAGTTGGCTCCAGAAACATAAGTGAACAGCCCCCCTGAAATGAAAGACAAAATATGCAATTTTTATATGTCATCTTATGCACATGGAATTTTTCTTTCCTTAAGGTCAGCAACTGAATACTCTACCTTTTTATTCAGAAACCATATGAGAAACTTAAAATGACTTCCCCGAAGCCAAGAGAAACTACAAAGAAGGATACTGTACAAGAGTCAGAGGTTATTCTAACCAAGAAGTTATTGGCACCTTCACAATTGTTTATTTCCATTTGGAAATGGAAAGACTTAAGAAAGCCATTATTAGAATTACATGAACCTCATTTATTAACACCTCCGCTACCTCTAGGGAATACAAAATCTGGATCTCAGTTCTGTATTTTAGCTAATCACAGCAAGAGGAAGGCAGGCGTTGAAAGTGAAAAACGGGGCAGAGGCAGTGATGATTGAGGAGATACAAGCATCCAAAGCAAGCCAGCAGGAGTCAGCACCAAAACTGGAGTGTCCTGGATCCCCATCCATGTTTCTCTACAGAAATGGGCATTTCCAGGTTCATAGCTCTGACCTACATCCTGTCTTTCTCACTAAGACAAAAACATACCTTGAGGAATCTTGTAAGTTACTTCCCCAGGTTTTCTCAGCTGGCGCAGCAGGAGATCACTGTGAATGTTGATTCCCATTCCCAGAAGAAATAAGAGGAGGCCTTTGAAAGAGAAACAGGAAATGGATTAGAAAGATAGCTTCTGGTTTGCCCCATTATCCCTGCACAAGGAATACTACAACGTGCAAGGTTTACCTTTGGAGAAGGCAGATATGAGGCCCAATGTGATGTGGGTGAATGCTTTTTCTCTAGTCAAAAGATGCATAGCTACTGAAAATGTTACAGATCCCCAGAAATATGAGTGAATGATGATAAGGTAAACTTGTATCTCTGTGTCAGCTATGAGATCACCTATTCTGGAGAGCTTCAGTGTGAACACCATCTCTGCACATTAAGATGACTCCCCTGAGCAGACTGTTCTGTCAGGCTGAGCAGAACACTTTCAGCTAATGTGAGAAAAAGCCAATTTTTTCACCTGGCCATTGTCATCAAACAGCATAGAATCATAGAACAGCTTGGGTTGGAAGGGACGTTAAAGATCTTTCATTCACAACTCCCAGGCATGGGCAGGGCTGCCCCTCACCAGCTCATGCTGCCCAGGGCCCCATCTAACCTGGCCTTGAGTGCATCCAGGGATGGGCATCACAGCTTCTCTAGGCAGCAGTGCCAAAGCCTCACTGCCCTCTGAGTAAAAAATGTCTTCCTAACACCTAATATAAACCTCTTTAAATTTAAATTAATTTAATTTTAACTTAATTTGATGAAATTTTAATTTAAAACCCCCCTTGTCCTATCACTGTCAGATCAAGTAAAAAGTCAGCCTCTCTCCTGTTTGTAAGCTGCCTTATTGCACTGGATAGCCATAGTGAGGTGCCCCCAAGGCCTTCTGTTCTCCAGGATGAACAAGCACAGTGTCTTCAGCTTGCTTTTGCGGGAGATATTCTCCAGCCCTCTGACCATCTTTGTGGTAGTCACTGAACATCAAAAGGGAGGGAAAAATAATGTGTGCAGAGATACGTGCATGTTCCAAATCCAAATCAAGATTCTATTTTCATGAAGGATGTGGAGTAGATAGCTTCCAAGAAGCCATCATAAAAAGAAAGACTGAAATGTCAAGAAAAATCTCTGCACACAGGTCTGTAGTTGCTCATCAGGCTTTCTGCCATCATGTTCCAGTATACCTGTATGCCCTATTCTCAGCCAAAGAACAGTGCTTTGTAGTACTGCGTGCTACCAGCTGCAGCAGCAGATGTGAGGATAGTCTGCTGCTCCCAGTTCTTTTCTACTGCCTATGGGAAGCCTCTGTGCTCCTTCTTGGGTCCCACAAGTGGGTACATTAACGATCTAGAAAATCAGTCATTCAAGAGAGGCCAGGGGGAGCCTGAGCAGCAGCTATGTATTCACAGTCCCCAGAGATATCAGGTAGCTAAGTATTGGATGGGCCAGGTAGAGTTGGGAGAAGGAGGGGCCAGGGATGGAAGGGAAAAGCTGTGAAAAGAGAAACTCAACACAAACTTATCCAGCACATCATCAGTACAAGGAGAGGAACGTTAAACCCAGAGCTGCTCAGTCCACTAAAAGTCAGGCCGTTTGGACAGAGCTGTGGGCATGAACATGGAGCAACCACTCACTTGATGAAGGCTGCTGACAGTTTCTGGCCAGAGAGATTCATTGAGCAGATTCCATTTAGCTGAGGAACTAGATTGAGGAACTCTGCAGGTGACATGCCCTACATTTCATGCCACATTAGACACTGAGAAAACCATATCTGACAGCGATTGGGAAGGCAGGAATCAAGTAGAGGTGGTGTGTGCTAAGTGGCAGAGCAAAAAACAAAGATCTTGTAAAACCTCAGCACTCCCAGTAGTAACAGAAAGTTGGGAAGAAGTTGTAGAAGATGAATACGTTGTTTTAACTTGAAGTCTTAAGGACCACCACTACTGTTTTCCCATTAGTTCTTTGTTCTCATCACATGTGTATATATATATATATATTTACTGTCAAAATTAAATAATGCAGTGTGTTCTTTGATGGCTGTAGAGCTGTTTCTACACAGTGTCCAGGGTTTTTAAGATGGGATGTTGTGAGTTAAGACTGAACTTTTATCCACTGCTTTTAAGAGTATGGAATGTACCTTGGTTATTTTGTACTTGCTGTATGCAAAACATTTCTTCTTACCTCCCTGTTCAATTTTATTTCTGTGTCTGTATTTAAAAACCATCCTCTGCACAGCACCAACTGTGTAATGCACCTAGCTGCCCTTGCTCTGTTATTCTCTTTGGGCTTTTACAGGGTGAAATTCAGCTAGGCTATTAAATTACAGAACATAAGGGAACATTATTAACATACAACCAGACCACGCATGATCTCTAATCTGCCCATGTGCCCTAGAACAAGAAAAAAGAACCCTTTGTCTCTAAAGCCCCATTTATGCTGGGGCTTTGTGCTCTGTCAGTCAGAATGGCTGCATTGAGTGCACACCTCCCTGGTCGAGAGAAAAAGCCACAGATTACCCCTGCACAGGGCCACTGTTTGGTGGACATCTGGCTGAGCAATTGCACATTCCTGCTCAAGTGGCACCAGAAAAGCAAGGTTGGTGAGTTGAGACTGTGCTCCAATACCCTACTTCATAATCCTTCAGTGGTGACTTCCTAGCAAGAATAAATGTCACCACACATTCAGTTGTTTTATCTGGGCCAGCAGGCAGCTTTCATGCCGATTTCCATCACGACTGATCTGACTCACATGTTCAGTGAAGATTAGGATGTAATTCAAAGCAGTGACAAATTGCTTGGAGATTAGATCTCGGGAATCCTGCAGCTGTAATTACCTGATGTAAATCGGATGTCGGTGCACCAATCGGTTGGGTATTCAGCACAGTAGATCAGGTAGTACCCCTGGAGGAAGCCATTATAGATACAGAATAGCGTGCCAAAGAAAAGCAATTGCAGCGGGAAAGGCCTGCCTCTAGTGAAGAAGGGGTAAATAAACGTCCTAAGGTAGATAAGAAAACAAAGTCAGCACATTTCACGATAACAGCGTATTTGTAATTTCTCTGCTGCAGGAAGAAAAACCTTAACAAAACACAAAATATGAAAAACTCAGTAAACATTAAGAAATGGAAAACTGTAAGAAAGCAAGACCAACAACAAATGGGAATCAAGAAAAATACTACCCATACCACATTTTTCTGGTCCTTTGAGATGGAACACAGGAAGCTGGAAATCTCACCCAGAATTGCTGTGGCTTCAAGAATGTCTCTCTGCCTTCCTTTTCCCTTGCTGGTAGCAGGAGGAACTTGAACCACAAACAGCACATTCATACTAGGATCTTGGCTGCCTTTTGCTACAGAGAGGGGCAGTGCCAACTGCAATACCAGAAGAGCCACAAACACTGTGCAGGAGCTTGTGTATGGAGGAGATGTTCCTGACTGCTCTCAGTGCTGGCCATGCCCCTTCACCAATGCTTAATCACGGGTTCAGGCCTGTTACTCACAAAGGGAGATTTGGAGAAAATAAATTGTACAGAAGAGAGAAAAAACCACTGTGAAAGGAGTTTACACAGTGGATTTGAGTGAGATTCTTCATCAAAAACAGGTATGCATGTGAACCTTTCAATTCCTCTAGCTGAGGTGGTCAGAAGTTCCTGCCTCGGCTTCAACCATTCCTAACATGAGGAGACATTTCTCAGCTTCCAGAATATGCTGTGGCAGTATAAGGCTACAAGCCCCTTCAAAGATGGCTCACCCAGCAGTGCAAGGAAGGAAAAACCACACGGTCTATCTAACATGAATGCCATGTGTGCAGGACAGAAGAAAGTTGCATGCACAATCTCAGGGGATGTCAACTATTTATTTAATTAGTAGAGGGAACGAAATCCTGGCATCAGTGAAATTCTACCTCATAGCACTTCTGAAATTCCATGTCAGAATTTCATTGAAGAATCCACGTTGTGAAGCAATTTTTCCAGGGAAATCTGCTTCAATAAATCTGGAGGTCAGACTCAGTTCTTTGTATCTGGAGGTCAGACTCAGTTCTTTGTATCTGAACAGTGCCAGAAGGTTCTGTTTTAATACAACACTTGTCAATTTGAACTACGGGCACACAGACTATTCCTGGTGGGTTTTGATAAAGCAACTGAAATAAAATGAAGGCGTTTGATAGGATTAAATAGTACACGGAAGAGTTTGCATCACTGCAGAGATTATTTTGCAATGTGCAAATCAGAAGAGGATCAGAGGCCACCACTTTAGAGGAGCAGATCAAAAATTGGCCTTTTGGATTTAGACCTATGACAGATTTGACCTTTTTCTTCCCATGCAATATTGATGATTAATCCTTTTGTCCTTTATCATCTTTACTGGCCAAACGCACTGCATCTGACTAAACCATTGCCAGCAGTTTCCTTTAAAATGGATGAATAATAAATTATTCATCTTTCCTGTCATTTCTTATCCAGACTAGCACGTTTCAAAGAGAAAATGATATGTAATTGCATCAAATTTCTGCTTACATGGAGTATACCAGCTCTCTTGAAAACTGCAGAGTCTCTCACCCCAACTGAGAGAAAAACCACATGCAGAACATCCTACTTCCACGTTCCTCCAAAGATCTCTGGAGGAATTTTTAGTCACTACAGTTTAAGAAATATAGGAAGAAGGATATACACTGACAAGCTCATAGTCTAGCTATATAAGACAATTGTAAACCTTTCGTGTCAGGTTCATTTCTGAGTATTCTATCTAAAGCAAAGTTCTCAATTTATAATCACTGAGCTACTTGTGACCCACTTAGAAAATTCATTCAACTTGAAGCCCGTTCACAAGAACACCCTATTTTTGCAGTCTCTTAGGAGCAGGTTCAGGACTGAATGAAGGCTTCTTGTAGGAGCACTCATCTTTCCTGGGGAAGGGATGCAGGCACAAATCTGATCAAGGGATGGGAGGAGGAATGAGGAAACTCTGAGACAGACAGCACCTTGTCTGAGTTTCAGGAGCCCTTGAGTAAAAGAGTGATGGAGAAAGGGATGCCTGGGCAGCAATGACTGAGTAAAAGACAGCAGAAATGGGAAAGGATTCAGAGTGGTAAAATAAGAAGAAACCTGGAAGAGATTTCCATTCTGCATCACTGGAGCTGCTGAATTAAGAGCAGAGATTAAAGTTAAAAAAATAACACTGAATATGAGAAAATAATCTGTTTGGGGGAGCTGAATAACTGTGTTCTCATGATACTGAAAGGAAGCAAGTTCAAATGTAATTAATAAACATACTTAATACAATACACAAACAACACTGGAAGAAGGGAGATAGCCACAGATTATAAATAAAGGCAAGTCCTTTAATAAAGAGGAGAAAAAGTCTAAGGCTTTGGAATACATATTCATTCTCGTAATTCAGGGGATAAATCACATTCCAATTCAAAGAGGCAGAAGGCAGCATCTCCCTTGGATGGCTGACCACTATTTACTGCACTTTCTTTTGAAAGACTTTTGCCAAGGCAGGCACTGTGACAGACCTCTACTCTAACCCAGCGAGGTACCTTCAGGGCTTCATTGCGGCTCACACCTCATCTAAGAGAAATAGACAAAGAGAACAAGTTCAAAAGGATGGAGTTAACTCCCCAGAATAGAAAAGTATTGAACACCAGCAAAGCTACGAGCAAAGCTCCAGAGTGAAAATATCCCAGGAAGGCTGACACCATGGACTGCAGTTAAAGAGGTTAAGCAACAGCACTCAACTTCCCAGCCACACAGCCTAATGCAGAGTTCAGGTTGAATTCTCGGTGCTGGATCAGAAAAGCTCAGCTGCTTACAACTGCATGTGAATGAAGTGAGATTATAGCAAGAAATCTACAATAATTTGCAAAACCACACGTGTCTGATGTGAGTGCCTAAAAACAAAATGCTGCTCCTACATTGCTATCAATTACTGATGGAAAAGAAAAAAGAAAAAAAAGATCCATTTGGCTGCAGAAAGATCTAAGGAATCTGGGCAACATAATGCCAAATTCCAGCACTACAAAAGCCTGAAGTCAGTCATTCTGGCAATCCATTACTAGCCAGATGCCCACAATTGTTACAAATTTTAGGTATGCTACATGGTTAGCATAGTGAGAAGGCTATATACAGCATAGGAATGAAAGCAAGTTCTTTTTGCATAGTTACATGCATGAACTATTAGATTTGCTATACTTAATAAAATACATATCGTTGAAAAAAAAAAAAAGAAAGCAAAAGAACAGGACCTAATAATGGGGATTTGTTTTTAATTGGTGAGGAAGGATCGGGTCGTCTTGACTCCAACGAACAAATCTTTACTGTTGTAAATCCATTACAACAGCAACCAGGTTTCAAAAGCATTTTGAAAGCTGATATACAAATTATTTCCTTGCTTCTCTTGTCTTCCAGTATTTCTGAAGCCATCACTGGAAAAATCTGGTATCTTCCAGTGATTAACAGCATCTTAGAACCAACAAAGGATATTTCTTCCTTTTCACAGTTCAAAAAAGGCACTGAATTGTGAAAAATGCTGAACCATTGTGGTCTTTCCTACTGGCAAGTCCCACATTTCAATTACTACACATTTTCTAAAAGGAAGCCAAGAACAAAGTTCTTGGGCTTGGTGCACTAGCAGGCTGCACCGGCAAGTCACAGTCAGTCAGCAAGCTACAGCTAGTATACAGTTAAGGTAATATATTTGTTTCTCAAAGGTTTCCATTTTGAAGCACAAAATACTGTTTTCAAAATATTCTGCCCTTTAATAACTTACAATCAATGAATATACAGATGATATAGCATATCCAGGAGTTTGGCTGATGTAACTATTATACTACAGTAGAAAAAAAGGGCACTCACCCTATCCTGGGCTCACATGATAAACTCCAGTGGAACAAATCTGCAGAAGAGATCCTTCCCTGCTGGCAGTCAGCTCTTCAATGGGTCTAGGAGAGGTGCAGCCAGGCTCCACCCCCTTCCAGCAGCACAGGTGAATTGCCTTCACCTGTGCTCCCGTGGCTGACTCATGGCTCACCTCAGGTGATCCATCAGAGGTTCAGGCCATGATTCAGCAGCCCAATACAATAACCAAAGGATACTACCAAAGGTGGAGCTAATATAGCAAAGGAACTATTGCTTGAGTACAGATGACTCCTGGAATCAAGACTGGCCCAACTGGACATGTGGTTTGGTCACAGAGACTATACAGCGAAGTACCAAAGTCTACAACCTATGACAAGATGAATATTTGTTTAAAAAGTCTAATGCTTTTGTTTGTAATAGCCTCCTTGCCTGGGAAAAATAAAATAATAATAAAAAAATAGTCTTTTTTTAATATGTTTGTGGCTGGCACGCTTCTGGGTGATACTGAGCACACCAAGAGTGAGAAATAGATTTAACAACAATCCTGAAATACTGGTTTTGTGTTTTTAGGAATCAGTTTAGTTCAGTGAAGACAATGGCAAAGAACAACTCTTGGGCACATCTGACAAAACATAAAAGATTAGCTGGAGAACTGGCTGGATGGAGGAAGGAGCGCTGGTAGGTAGCAAGCTTAGCGTGACCTGGGAGTGTCAGGGCATGTTAAAAAAGCAAATGTTAAAATGTGATGTAAAAACTGAAGTGCTAATGGAGGCACCCAAATTAGTTCCTCTTTGTATGGAGCTAGTAGAAACTTAGATTGTATGCAGCTGAACCCTGCACTTCATAAGAGATACAGGCAAAGCCCAGAGAAAACAGCTGTGATCTGGGAAGTGTGACCCTTGTAGAAAGACCGGAGGCCTCAAGGTTGTTTAACGCGGCTAATAAAAAACCTGTAGAAGACATTATAGCAAAGTACAATTGTATAAAACTTTACTGCAAAGAAGGAAATACGAGCTGGAGGGTTTGAGGAACCTTCTATCACTGTTTTTAAGGATGGGCTACACAAGCAGCCATCAGGAACAATCCTTAGACTGATTGTCTTTCTTAATTCTCCGTAATTTGTTCTGCAATTGCAATTCCGGATTGTCACAGTCTTGATCATTATGGGGCACTGGAGCTCATGCAGGCCTTTCCTGTCCTAATGTCATCTGTACAGGCCAAAGCACTGAGAATAAAATTCAAGGAACTGAGAATGGGAACTTGGAGCTGTCTTGGTGAGAGGGGGAGACACTGACAGAGAGCTGGGGAGCAGCGATGAGATCTGGAATTAGCTGAGCAAAAGAAACCACAGCACAAACAAAACCTTTTGCCCAGGCTGCAGCCTGAACTCAATGCCCGGCCAGTTACCCCAGCTGAAACTCTAACTAATCTTGGTCCAGATTTAAAATTGTGTGAGTGGTGGAGGACAGGACTAGGGTCAGCGTGACAAGATGTGGTTGTACCCAACCACAATATTTCATGCTTTTCTCTACTAATTGGTGGCATCTAAAGGACAGCAGTACTTAAAGATTACGAGAATGTCTGTTATTTTATCTAAGCGATGGCGTGTCAAAGGCTTAGCCAGCCAAACCATATATTTCAGCAAGGTATCTCCCTCTTTTCTTCTCCAAAAATAACCACTTGATATTTATGAAGATAAATCACTTTGTTCCTATTGCTAAACTATGGTTGTCTGCCAAAAGAATGAAACATGTGCCAGAGTAACTTGACCAGACACTATTCTGTGCACTTCAAAAAGCTCACTGCTCCTCTGGAGCAGAGTTCAAAGTGTTCACAGAAGCTCAGCGTATGAGCAGAACAAAAGGACACATCTGTATGAAAAAATGGTACAAAATCGAAGGATGCACAAAACTGTGCTCTTACAACTGCACTTATGAGAGAAAACTTAATTATTTTCTACAAGCAGTCCACCTGGGGCTGAGAAACAGCCAAAGAAAGTTAGACATTTAGTCAGCTAACATCTCCAAAGCTACACGCTGGTCAGGCTGTCTCCTACCAACATGCACTAGGCTTCATACCTGTTCAGAAAACAGAAATGCAAGATACACTGAAAGCAGTCTTCAAGATACCCATAAAGATTTTTTTCCACTCCAGTAATTCTCTCTTTGTTCTCTTTTATGCCTAAATTCTTGATCTTTCTCCATTTTGCTCTTCTAGCCTTCCTGAATTTGTCCTTTCTTTGTCCTTCTTTAGATTCTTTGCTTCCTTTATGGTTCCTCAGGTTTTCTTGTTCACCTAGTTAATGTTTTTATCTCTTGTTACCCAACAACTTCACTGTCTCTCTTTCATTGTAGTTCTTTCTTGTTTGCCCCTCTCCCTTTGCAGTTATGGCTGAGTATTTTTATCAACAAAAAGTTTTTTCCTGAGCATCCAAACAGGTCTTTGTCTCCTCTACAACGGATTTTCCAGATCCTATGGTAGGAAGTGACTCCACAGTGACACGGAGTTCACGTAGTTTATATTGACTTGTACATGAAAATGCATTGTGCTGTATTAGAGGGCTGCTCTGAAAGTAATGCCACATATTTTACTATTTTGGCCTACAATTTCAGAGGTGGGATGTTGGTGGCAAGACAGCAGAGCTCTATCTTTCCCCCCAGTATTCCACTACATGTTGTTGCTGTGTGACAGATGGCAGCAGGGGGCAGTCTAACAGAATGGCAGCTGACATGGAAGTCTGTATGAAGCAGAGGTATGTTATTGAATTTCCCCATGCAGAAAAAAATTGCACTCACTGACATTCACTGGCACTTGCTGAATGTTTCTGGAGACCAAATAGTGGATGGTGCATTTCAACTGTGGTGGCAATGATGTGAAAGATAAGCCACATTCCAGACAGTCATGCAGATCTTTACAAGGGCAGCATGCAGGCTCTCGTTCATTGCTGGTAGCTACTGATAGTGACTATGCTGAAAAACAGCATTTTGTAGCTGAGGATTTACTCTATCAAATAGTTTAATTATGCTCTTTGTATCTGTTGTAGTTTCCATGGAAATAAATTGGAGGCATGGCTACATATTTAACTCTGAATTTTGTTGGCTTTGCACAGCCTCTGTAGGTCACTATAAACTACAAAACCCTTTCATAACCAGGACATATAACAGCACTGATCTATGCAGCTGCTGCAGTAGGGACTGTCCAGTATTTCCAGTAGCAGCACCAGGCACCTGTGGGTATCAGGGGAGGTGAGGGCCTCCTGGTTTCCTCTCTGCCTGTCCTAAATGCCATGTGATTGGCTTGTGTGGTATCTGGTGGAGAAGGTTTTCTAGTTTCCATCTTTAGCTGGGGAGACTGTCCACTCTGTCCACTACGAGCACATGCTCAGGGGTAGCAGGCTTACTGCTCCCATCTGTGGAGAGCAGGCCCCAGCAGCTGTGTCTGGCACAGGAGATCACAGAGCAGGACAGATTTTTGGGGACTATGAGAGACTGAGATACAGACCTAAGGGTATGAGTGCACAGGATGACAGAGCTTCTACCTGAGAGTCTCAATCCCGAGTGAGGAGACTTGGTACATTTGGGTTGTTTATTCAGCTACATTAAGCAGTTTGAGACTGTGAGCTACATGTTGCTGTAAAAAAAAACCAAACAGTGAGAAAACTGAGGTCATAATCTAATGCAGTGTTTCTCTAGCTCTGTTTTACAGATGCGCCTGTCAAAAACAGTTTAAGGCCCTACCTTTGCTGAGAATGCTTCTGTCTTTCACCATGCAGCAGGATAATGGTAGAAGGATTTCTGACCATTTCACCACAGCCCACAGGATTCAAAAGTGCAGAACTGGGTCATCTTCCTTATTTCTTACTATGCAAGGGAATGCTCTGAGAAACTGAAAGATTCAGAATTAAACTTCTGTGGCAGTTTAGACTTGTCACTTGTTAGAAAATTCTTCTTCATAACCATAATGACCAGAAATATATTTTTTTCCAGGTTCGGAGCCTAGTGCTTTCTTGAAAAATAAGATTTCAAGCCTTTTTAGCAGACTTGTTCTCTGCACATATTCGAAAATACAATTAGTTGAACAATAACAGCATTTCAAATAATTTTTCATCTTTGACAGCTTTGCGCAGTCAGCTTAGTTAAAACAAATGTCTTGGGATAGTCTGATTAAAAACATGAAGCTTCATTCCACTTTTCAGACCAAACTTCATCCTCAGCTGAATCTCTACTTCAAACTATTTCAAAAACAGCGAAGATGAGTTTGATTTATGAGGGAAAACAAAAATTCAGAGACCCAAATATATCATCATGATGACAAAGCAGGAAAGAACTTGAACTCTTGGGGCCCATGCTGCATCTGAAGAACTGTAAGTATAAAATTATTAGTGTAATCATTTTTGCCAATAGACTATAGAAGTTGAAAATGGAAAACACAAGCAAAAAGCATGAAACTCCAACTTGCATGTCTAAAAATTAAGAAAGTTTTTGAAGTGTCCTAAAGTCCCAGATTTGCACAGGCTTGCATACTGGGTCTTGAGGATTACTGAGCACGTTCAATTTAATTAATTTTAAATACCTCTATTTATTGGCAGTATCCTGCCATTGTAAGTCAGAATCTCAAACGTATGTTTCTAACAGCAGTTCAATCTGAGTGATTTCTACAGCTGTTACACAGAAAGTCATTCTATTTCCAAAATGGTAAAAAAATTATTATCATTTCTAAATCCTTAGGTTCATATCTTGAAGAACATTGGTTGAAATGTCTAAATCCAAAGTGCTTCTGAACCCATACGACCTCTGGCCATCCATGAGGAACAGAATCGGAAACGGCCAGGTCACGTCCCGAGTTTGCACTTACATTAAAATGATCAGAAGACTTAATATCCTCTAATATCCTGTAATAAAAAGAGCTACCGTAGGCTCTCTCTGATTCACAGTCATCTTTGCTTTCTCCCAAAATACTTATTACATGAGATTTCCTAGCAAGATTTCCTAGCACATAAAATTGCTATGTGAAGAACTCGTTACACAGAAAGTATCAGTGTTAGTGTCCTTTGCTCCCCAGGTTTACACAGATACTTCCCTCTCATATCTCCTCTTCCCTTCCATGCATCACATCCACACATTTTTAAAGACAAAGACTCCACCACCTACTTGGGCTGCCCATTCCAACGCCTAACCACTCCTCAAGTGAAGAAATTCTTCCTAATGTCTAAACTTCCCCTGACACAACTTGAGGCCACTGTCTTGTCTCTCAGTTGTCGTCTGAGAAAAGAGACAAGAACCCTCTTCCATGCAGCCTTCTTTGTAGAGAGTTGCAGAGCCATAGAGAGCAATGAGGTCTCCACTCTGCCTCGTTTTCTCTGGAACAAACAGCTCCAGTTCCCCCAGCTGCTCCTCATAACTCTTTTGTTCTTATCAACATCCATCCCATGGGTGTCCAACCTTTTGGCTTGCCTAGGCCGCACTGAGTGAATAGGAATTGTTTGGGGCTGTATAGATATATTTCTCTGAAAGTAATGCCTTTTGTTTATTTCCATGGAAAATACAACAGATACAAAGAACAAAGTAACGCTATTTAGGAGAGCAAATTCTCAGCTACAAAACACTATTTTTCAACATAGTTGCCACCATTAGCTGTGCATTTTTGCCACTGACAAACTAGAGCTTGCATGCTGCACAGGCTGCAGTGAGCTCTCAAGGTGTTTCTCAGAGATTTTTAATGAAATTTTACTCTTCCTGCACTTTATCCTTGGCAATCATTGTTCAAAATGTGCATAATGCAAAAAAAAATCCTGATGGCATGAACAAGAAGTGACTGAGATTATTTCTATTTCGAAGGAGATACCAAGAACATAAGTTACATCAGTGGGCGTCCAACAGATGCAGTTTCTGGAATGTGGCTATGATTATAATGGAAATACTACAAAGTTAGCTTCATAGATTTTTATTTTCACCTTATTTCACCAAAAACTAGGAAAGAACCTAAGTATATAGGCTTTTCAGTGCACAGAGGGACTTGAGAAAAATTCCTTTTGTCAAATTATATTTACTGGCTCATTAAAAAAGCATTACCTTCCCTCATAAAGACTGTCTCTTTTATGATATGAAATCAGAAAAATAGATTTGTGGACCTTGAAACAGTAAAGTCTTCAACAAATGCCTTGCTGCGTGTATGGAATGAATCTTAGCTCCTTTCCCTTGCATTTTATTTCTGACTTAAAAGAGCAGCCCTAATAAGGGAAAACCACTGACATCCCATAATCAAAATTTCCTTGTTTGGTAGAAACAATGTCATTTTAAAGTAAAAACATTTACTGAAATGCCTGTATATACTTTAGTCTTTTTTTTTTTTCTTTTTTCTTCTCTGTCTTAGTTCAGCTCTTCTCATTTCAACAGCAGGGATCTGGTAATGGACCGAACAAAGGAAAAGCTTCTGCAGCTTGCTCTGTGCGTGCCATACTTCCTTTCCAGAGGACAGAGCAGACCCTAAGTATATGGAGCTTAGGGCAGTGGACTGGCGCAAAACAGCAAACATCACCTGGAATGCAGGGCAGCACATAGGAGTACAAAACCTTGAACAACCAGGTACAGTAATTAGGCCTTAGTAACACAGTGGGAATGGTGGGCATGAGAGGAAATAGAAGGCAAGAGGATGGCACACAGTGGAACCCATCTGGGAAGAAAACGTTGGTTATAAATACAGAACCATAGCAGTTTGCAAAGCTGCATGGTAATGACAAAACAGCACAGAACAACCCGCATCATGTACAGATGTACTGAATAACGAGAGTGTCATCTTGAAAAGACGTGAAGACAGATAAAAGTCTGACTTTCCTCCACCTATTTTCTTCCATTCCAAGGGATATAAGGAAAATTTATTTTGGCACACTTCTGGCTGGGCAACAACCGCAGGTGTCTGTAATGTGAGGCCATTTTCCAGTGGAAAAAGAACATATAAATGAGCTTATTTGTACTAACAGCAAGGAAGGCAATCAGCTGGTGCTCTACTATGAGGGACTAACCAGGAGAGTATTTAGTAATGCTAGAGGAGACTGCAATGAAGCAAACTCAGTGCTAGCACTGGATGTGTGAACACTTTACACTTCTGTGGCAAACCATGCAAAGAGATTTTTTGGTTGACTACTTATGCAGGAACCTTACTGCAAACAGCAGTGAATCTAGTATTTTCACTCACAAGAAGAAATAGGATATAGTTGGCATTACTGGAACTCACTGAGATGAACTGCAAAAAGTTAAACTCATGGACTGGGCAGGAGAGAGTGCATGAAAATGGTAGAGTGACCTTATGAACCAGTACAAAACACTTTCCCTGATTTTTTTAAGGGAGATCTTGATTTGTAGAAAACCAAGTACAGGCACACCAAATGGGTAATCTACAATCAAAGCGGGATGGGGATCCAGCTGTCTCTGAAAGAGTGGCCTCTTAGTGCCTTTCAGTCTGACTTGAGTGCACTTCAAAAAGCAAATCTGTTTTTTCTGCACTCGCAGAGGAAAACATTCTGTAGCTCAGAGAGACAAGACTTTCCCCTTACTACTGAAGGTGACATCTCTTGTCCCTCTCTGTCTTTCTCACTTTGTATCCAATTCTGGTTCTAAGAGAAGTGCAGTGCTAAGCTCTATACGGCATTCCATCGTGATGCCATCCTCTCATCCCCTCATTTCCTGTTTCCCCACTCGGTTCTTGAAGCGGGGCTGCAAAACGGAAACGCAGCCAACAGGCTTCCTCCCGCCACCTGAGGGCTGCAGCTGCTCTTCCCGCACAGCCCCTTGGCGAACTACGTTTCAAACCAAATCCTTCATAAGTCACTGACGCCGAACAGTTCCTGTACGCTCATCGTTTCATCTGCTTTCCCCAGAGACCGCCGCAGATGGCGGACTTGGCATTTACTGCTCTTCTCACTTTCTCCCTCCTTTCCTCTGCCTCCCCGTGCGAAAACGAAGCCGTGAGCTTACCTAAACCAGATGTGATAACGTTCCGATTTTTAATGCAGTTTGCTTTAGCGCCACGGGGCCATTTGGATTCGATTAAATTCCCACCACGCCGCGGTAGTCAAGAACGCATCGAGGGAGCCGAGGAGCTGGCTCACCGAGGCCGGCAGGCAAAGAGGAGGGGAGCGATGTGGGATTCCCCTGGCAGACGCAGCCTGGCCCCGGCCCTTTCCGAAGCCGCACGGCGCGCTCCTTTTCCCGCCCGCCAAGAAGAGGGCGGCTGCAGCCTAGCGGCGGCAGAGGGAACGGGCAGGGCCGGCGGAGCTCACTTCTGTTTAGAAACGGTTCCTCCGAACGTCGCGGCTACGGGACACCGCGTGCAAAAGCGGGACGCCCTCATTACGCCGGCTTAAGGCTGGTCCTAAATTTGTGAAAGGGTAACTTTATCCTGACAGACTGCGTGCCTGACCGAGTAGCGCCTGTCAGGCGGGGTAATGTCCGCTCGCTGCAGCTGGCACCGGGACACCAGATAAATCACCTCAATCCTTCACAAACGCCCTACCGTGTGCAGTAGCCGATTCATCAGAAATAGGATACGTGCTCCTGTACTATCTGGATCACACAAGTGCAAGGCGGAGGACCTGACAGCTCTGTAGCAAGCAGGCTGAAAAATGATCTGATTTCGGTGTGAATGTTATCAGGCTCAGAAAATACAGTGGGATGCTACGGGGTGCTTTGAATTAGCGCAGAGGAACAAACAGTAAGCATCATTAGGAGGAAATCAAGGGGAGTCAAATTCAAGCACATTTTAAACGCGTCAAGTGACAGCGGAAGAATTCACAAGACTGAATTACCAGAGAAAACAGCAGATTCTCTGTAGAATAGAGGATGGATTTTCTGTCTTCTGGGCTCTCAGACCGAGACTGGGAGGGACTCAAGTATCTGCTTCAGACAAACCCGAGTTCCTGAGGCAGCACAGCCGGGCTGGTGGACAGAAAGGCAGAACAGCCAGCTCAGTGGCCCTGAAAAATCTCTGCTACTATAATAGCCTGTGATATTCTGTAATATTCCTTCTGTAATATCCTTCTGTTTGACACTGCCCTTCCATCGGCACGTTAGGTGTAAGAGAGCTGACAAAATTAGGAACGATAAGAGCTTCCCTGCAGAGAATAAGATGTCACTAAAATATGTAATGATAGATGAAGAAACTTTTCTCTGTATAAAGGGGGCTATTTTCATACAAACATAAAGTAATGCTGAAATGCAAATGACAGGCAGTGGGTAGGAAAAGTAGGAATAGCTTAGCGGGACATACTTATAACTAAAAGCAGAAACATCATTATTCACATCACGGTTTTAAAGTCAAAAGAACTGCAATAGGCTACCTCTACTGAGCTAATATAATTTTATTATTGACCAATTGTATATTTTACTATAATCAGGAAAGTATCTAAAACCTGTTTGCTTATTTCTAGTAAAGATAATCGCTTGAAAAAATATAAAGATGGACAGTGGCTGTTATATCAAAGTGCTGAACCTCTTCTCAAATACCCCGGCAAAATGCCCTAAGCCAGAAAAACTCCTCGTTTTCTCTTTTTCTTGCTCTTCTACATAACAGTGGAGCACTGATACATAACACAGCATTTCAAATATTGATCGGTTTGAAAGCATCTCGGAAATGGTTTGCTGTAAAGAATAACACCAGAGTAACACACAATATTAGAAGCAAAATAGGTTGTTGAATAGACTTGGCTAAATAAGAGTTTTTACTTTTACAAGGGAATAAGTATTCCCTGGCCGCAGGTGAGAAGAGCCCCTAAATTATTTGAGAAAGAAAACGTAGGAAAACACGGGGCTTCTGCCCAAGCCCCGCAGCAACAACAGCAAGCAGAACCTGGCTGAGAGATGGGCGCTTAGCGGTAGGGCAGCATGTCTTTCACGTGCCTGGTGGTGCTCACCTACCTCTGCTTGTGAAACAGCCAGAAGCATACGAGCACAGTGCATTAAACTAGATGTGCAACACACCTATTTCTGGGAGCACATCGTGCCTGCCACCGGTAGCATCCTCCAGCTGGTTTAGCACAGCAACAAAACGATGACGGCGGTGATAGTTAATACATCTGTCAAATATTTTAGCACTTGAAACCATTTTTTTCCCTCTGGTTTAAATGCATTTCCTACAGCCAATATTTGTTTGTTTCCATCCCTCACTGCCTGTGGAGACACCGCAGTCAGACTTTCAGTGCTAAGATCGCGGGTGGATAGCAAAGAATCATTTATGGAGCATTATTCCTTGCATGATTTTTAATTCTCGGTAGGAAAAGAAAGAAAAATATAGAAATACGACTTAGGATTAAAAAAAGAAGAAGAAGAAGAACCTGCAGAGAAAGGTTTTGCTGCAGAAACTCCGCACCCTGCCGTGCAGAGAGACGCGGGGAAGTCGCCGCTTGTGAGAAGGCCGTTTTCTCGTGAGCGGGAAATCAGTGATGCGCCACGGCAGACGAAAGAGCGAGGGCAGGTAAAGCCGGCCCTGCTCCGTGCTGCAGAAGGGCCCATCGCCGCGCTGCGCTGAGCGCGCTTCGGAGCCGCGTCCCGTCACCTGCAGAACCCGACGGCAACCGCGGGGCTGTGCCGCGCTGCCCGCGCTGCCACCGACGGAGCGGTCGCGGCTTTGCTCTTTGATGACAAGAACAAAGCTTGACGGCATTCACCGACATTCGCACGACGGAATTTCTGACGTATAACATGCACTGCATTTTACAGACCGGGAGAAACCGCCGCTGCGATGCCGCTCCAGGCCAGAGGGACCGCAGCGGCCGTTCTCCCCTCGGGGCCGCCCCACGCGCGTCCCGCCCGCACCGAGGGCTTCGCACGCTCCTCTGCGTAACGTTTGCTTTCGTTTCGTTCCAAACTTCGCTCCGGCATAGCGAAACCTCTCTCTCTGCTGAAAAGCGCGGAGAGCATCGCCTCCTCGCCGAGCACCGGCTCCTTCCCGGCGGCGCCCGCTCCGCCGCGCCCACCGCACGCCGCCCTCTGCCCCTGCGGACGGGCAGGTGCTCGCAGCCTCCAGCGGAGCGCCCGGCGGTACCTGTAGAAGTAGTGCCAGCAGAAGAGGCAGCAGAGCAGGCGGCAGCCCAGCGGCTCGAGACGGGGCGGGCTGCGCAGCGCCAGCAGCAGCGCGGGCACGAGGAAGGAGGGCAGCTCCTGCACGAACCAGGCGCAGCGCGCCGGCAGCCGGCCCCGCGGACGGCACAGCCGCTCCTCGTGCTTGCCGTAACGGGACGGCACCCGCAGGTAGAGCGAGAGCTGCAGCAACGCCAGGGCTCCCAGCAGCGAGCTGAGCGCGAGCACCAGGCTGGGGAAGCACTGCATGCTGAGCGCGGGGCACCGAGGCGAGCGGCCGTCGAGCGGTGCCGGCCCCGGTCTTTTTAGAGCGGCGGCGGTCACCCCGCCCCGCCGAGCTGCCTCCCATCGTCCGGGCCCGTCAGAGGGCGCAGCCCCTCGCTTCGAGGCGTCCCGGGGGAGCTGCCCGCCGCCGGCCTTGACGCCGTCCTCGGGGAGCGGGGTGCTAGCGGACAGCTACGGAGCAACGAGTGGGTAGCGGCTCCCGCTCACACGGTCGGTTTAAGCGTGAGCTTTGGAAGTCGAGCTCCCGCAGAAGGGCCGGAACATCAAACCGCACAGGCACGGCGGCTCGAGACCGTGAATTCCAGTTGCATCCGTGTCGTTGTGAAGAAAGCTCTTGGATGCAGCTCAGCAAAAGGATGGACGCCGTGCAAACTACCGGAGAAGCCATCCTCGTGGACCAGTAGTGGTACTGGCTGCGGTTATGTGCTAACATGGGGTGCGAGAGGCTTAGCTTCAGCCTGTTTCAGGAGGTGCTGGAGAATGTGGCGCTTGCTATCTCTCACCTGTATGTAAAAAGAAAGCTGCTCTGGAGCACAGCTGTGCAGATGTACTAACCATAAAACAGAAATGAATCCATAGTAAAACAGTTGGACATGAGGACGTAGCACTCATAATACACAAGTTTCAGGGTGTTCTACTTCAAGGAATTTCTTTAGAGCAACAAAATCGTGAAGGGTCTGGAGCACAAGTCTTATGAAGAGCAGCTGAGGGAACTGGGATTGTTCACTCTGGAGAAGAGGAGGCTCGGGGGAGACCTTATCGCTCTGTGCAATTACCTGAAAGTGAATCATCCTCTTCTCCTAGATGACAGTCAAATGACGAGAGGTAATGACCTTACGTTGCACCAGGGGAGGTTCAGGTTGGATATTAGGAAAAACTCAGAAAGTGGTGAGGCAGTGGTACAGGCTGCCCACAGAGGTGGTGGAGTCATCATCCCTGGAGGTGCTCAGAAACTGTGTGGATGTGACACTTAGGGATATGGTTAGTGGACATGGTTGAGATAAGTTGGTGGTTGGACTAGATAATCTGAGATGTCTTTTCCAACTATATTGATTCTATGGATCTATGAATCTAAATGACCTCTGGTCTGATTCCATAGACTGAAGGCATGTTAGCAAGAGAGAAACACATTATGTATACTCATGGAGTGTATCTTCTGGCTCAGTTTGATAAAAAATGAACAAACAAACAAACAAACAAAAAAACCCGGAACACAAAACAGTGATGCACCTTGAGGCTGCTCATGAAGCAAATCAAAGCTCTGTAGTAGTTGGGTATATTTGTGGAATTCACTTCAAAAGTATGCTCTGGATTCAAGCTAAAAATGATGGGGAGACAGAGACAGTGTAAAGACCAGAGGTCACTGTGCTGGTGGCTTCAGGCAGTCCTCTAATTTTGGTTGGATGGATTCAGACTGGGTGAGCCTGATCCTCATTTATGTTGGAAGACATCGGAGTGGGAATTCATCTGAAGTTTAGAAAGTGAGCTAGTTAGATAGAAACTTTCTCCAATTCACACAGAAAAGATTAATTTCATCCTAAGTTGGAATGAAACATCAAATGTATCATAACCTAGAAAACCTATTTCTTATCAGAGATCTAAAGCCTTCCTATGGACAGATGTTCTCCTAGGTGAAGGTCCAGAGTGTTTATATTCATTGTTTGAAATAAATTGAATGAGTATCCATCCTATTCAACTGCTGAACAGGATTTCCCCAGCAATTCCTTCTTGACTAAGTTCCGCTTCAGGGATTATGATGAGAAGGTGAAAGCAGTTCTGCAGGAGCATTCTGTGTATAGATCAGTGGGTTCTGAGAAGGCAAGGTACACTGCTGAAAGAGTGTGTGTTGTATAGCATCATTAAAACTGAATTTTAAAATGAAGTTTATTTTTTCTACAGGTGCCTATAGAGATGCTGGTTTCACCAGTCCAACGGAGTACCAGGTGGTGAAGAATCTGCCCTGAAATGATCTTAAGCCAA